CAGCCCAGACATTCTATGATTCTTTGAAAATTATTGAAAGTGAAATGCAATTTTTTCTCCCAGCATTGCATTTCCAGCTACAAACAACATTGCAGAGGGGCAGCAATGTATTATCTTCCCTGTTAGGTGCTGCCTCTGCATTATCAGAATGCAAATTATGAGTAGTAATCCCATGCACCAAGTAACATTGACAAAGCTCTGGGTAGTTATGTTGTAATTACCCTGCAATGCTAAAGAAATAATTACTTTAGTAGGTAACTTAAATCACCCAAATGGGAAGAGAATACAATTAATATGATGTTTCCCTTAAGCTTTTGATTTATAAGCTATCTGAGGCCACAGCTAAGAGAACTTGAAATTCTGTAATCAGGAAGAAAACAATAGAAGAAATAGGTACTGTGGGAATTTTTCTCCAAAAATATTACAAGAACCATGAAGAGCTTTGCAGAGGTTTTTTCACTTGTATTTACAAGAGCATGAGAAATATATAGCTAAGATTAAATTTATACAAACTGTAGAATCTGGAACCATCTCTGCAACATGTTAAAAGACACGAGGAACATCTATTGTGGCACAACAGGGGGTTTAGATGAAACTTGGAATCCTATAGCCTAAAAAGATAGTTGATAAAATCATCTTCTTTAGAAGGAAAACTTTCTTACTTACAGAAAGAACTTACTTACTGTAAGTTTCTTCCTACTTAGCCTCTCCCCCTCTCATTATCTTGAATTACCTCCAACTCTCTAAACATAGCCCTCATGAAGAAATGCTCTAATTTCAGCTCCTGCTAATGCTCTATTAAAGTCTTGAATGAGTATTCTTCTGATTTTGGTCACTGTACTCTGACCAAACAGATGAAATCCAGTCTGAAGAATGTCCAGAGACTAGCAACAAGGATGGTTGCAGAGGTTCTAAAAATTACTGGAAGTAAAAGATAAAGAGTGCTGAAGTTGTACAATCCAAAAAGAGAACTGAGGAAAGATGTAACTGTAACAGTCTTTACATATGTGAAGTGTTGCTGTAAGGAAGAACTCCTCTTCATTTCTGCTTTTGTGCAGGAAAAAAAAAAAAAAATTATATATGTAGCAGCAAAAGAAAAGTAGATTAGGTGTTAGAAGATCTATGGGTTTTTAATAGGAAAGATAGCTAAAAACTACAACACATTTAAGAGAAGCATGGTATCTTCAAATGTAACAGATTTTAAAATGTAAACTTGTGAACAATGGCTTAGTGGCGGTCTTGCTGTACTTGTGTTGGTCTAAAGACTTAAAAAAGACAAGATTTGTGGACTGAAGCAATATATTTTATTAGATCAACTGGTGCAGCTGGAAGATGGACACAAGCTTTCCGGCACACCATCCTTCTTAGGATCTAAAGAAGCATCTGATCTCAAGAGCTTATGTCCCTTAAAGTCTGTGTACGTTTTCCCAGCTGTTCTAGCTAGTTTAATAAGAGAATGGCTTAACTCTAGCTGATCCCATTTTAGATTTGGTTAACCTCTTGAGGACCCTTCTAACTCTATTATTTAGCATCCTGTGATCTGTTTAATATATCTAAATTAAGCATAGCGCTATATCCTGACAGATTCAGGAGACTTTGAATCTTCATCCAGATTTGTATGATAGATGAACTGTTTTTTAGAGGAGAGGAACCTCGGATGTACAGTGAGTTGGACTGTTTTCTTACAACAAATACTGTGGTGTTTCTGGAAAATTTTGTGCATCGGTGCATAAAGAGCTTTTGGTGACTGGATTTAACATTCAAAAACTATCAGCTGCTGCAGCCCCTCAGAGTTTTACTTCCAAGGTTATTAAAAAAATATAATTTTATGGTAGTTTCTTAGACTCAATTTTGACATTTTTAATGTATTAGCATGTTAATTTAGTACAACCATGTTAAAGGACCAATTTGCCTCATTTCTAAAAGCTTTTCAAATTAAAAATGAGGGAAAATATAAAAACAAGCTTTAAAAGCACATCATGTAAAGTGTCTGCCTCATGCTGCTTTTGATCATAGTAATCATCATCAGAAAAATAACACAATTAAAATGGGTAGCACTTAATACTGCAAAAATTACCTTTATTTATTTACCTCAAATCACAGTTACCCAGACAACTGTTGCAGATTCTCTGCAGATGCCATAGATATATTATGCCCAGCAAAATATTTTATAGAATTATTATTGTCTTAGTACAGTTTACAAGATTCTGTGTGGCAACAATTTTAATTAAGCATCACACTGTCATAAGAAAAACATAAACTTATACAAATGTAGATGTGCATTGCTATCGACTAGAGCCAATGTATTAAAATAAACATGAAGACAGTTATGTGAATAATTAGAGAAGATAAACTAGCAGGAAAATAAGCTATATATCAGACTATTATATGTATCAGATTAGTTCCCATGCTGTGGTCTGTGTAAAATTATTCTTTGTGTACCAAGATTCTCTCTACATGAACCAAACACAGGGTTCTTACACTGAACTACATATTAAAATATTGTGTGTTAAACAAAGGACAGAAACTTTTTCTTAGCTCTGCAAAGCCAACTGTTTTCCTGTTGAAGCATTCGCTAAGTGATTTCCCTCCCACTAATTGTCTTTCCAAATTCAGTTTGCATTGCAGTGTGGAAGAATCATCACATGCGGACAGTTACCAACTATTTCATAGTGAATCTTTCTCTGGCTGACATTCTGGTCACAATTACTTGTCTTCCAGCAACTTTAGTAGTGGACATCACAGAGACATGGTTCTTTGGGCAGCTCCTCTGCAAAGCGATTCCCTACTTACAGGTATTATTTTACTGTGGTTGTGTACACATTATCCGTGGTATGAAGAAGAGAAGGAACAATAGTTTCTTCCTAATAGTGATAATCTGATGAAAGTGCATCCCTGCTACTAAAATAGATATCTCAGGGTACATGGCGAAGGTTAAAGGACTCTCCCACTTCTGAATATGTTTATGCTTAATAAATATTGTTCTTGGTGTATCTGATTGTTAGACTTGTGCAATACACTTTCTGGAACACTTGTCTGATACTCTTCACTTTTTGTGGTCTTTTTTAATAATTCAGAAGGGATATAAAGCAATAAAATTGTCTGTAAGTATAGTTACAGTCATCTATACTCTGTGTGCGTGGACCTAAACAGCCACAGAGAATCCAAACTTCTGAAGGGAGTCTGGGCTTTCATAAGTGTTTAGTGTCTTACTCTGCATTCTTTAGAAATGGTCAAAGTATCCAGGTTAACTGGATCAGCTCGTCCGTTTGTCTGCCTTAAGCAATATTTGCCACCAGTCGTTTACCAGTGGACTTAGTTATGAGATCATTTGCTTCGAAATGATTGACAGATACCTTTTCTAAGAATAGCAATATTGTAATTAAAGGTTAAATGACTTAATCTGTCTTAAGCTTACTGTTTTTTTTTTTCCATGACACCCTGAATTTCCAGTGTTCCTGTGAAAACTGAAAAAGCAAAATGATGGTACTCATATTAAAATATAACACAGGAAAAAAAACCAAACTTGTTTTACAAAGAAAAAAATAATTTGTTGCCGAATGTTTTAGAAGTAGTTTTGCAAATTCTAAATTGCATAAATTTGCTCTTTCAGAAGCTGGCCCTGATACACCCACTCAGTTTGGGTAGCATCCTAATCTGTGAATTGCCCTGTTGAGTCTAGTAAGACTACAGCAGATGAGGATCTCTGTTGTAATTCTTTAAGAAGTGATTTTGAAGAGTCTTTTTCTGTTAATGATTTCTATTTAATAATTGTAAATAAAAGAGCTACCTATTTTGAACGTAGAAATAATGTTTAAAACTCTGGGAAACAATTAAATAATTTTTAAAGCTGTGGGAAAAAAAGTACGTTTATATCATATTTCCTTTTCTTTAGACAGTTTCAGTCTCTGTGTCTGTACTGACACTCAGCTGCATTGCTTTGGATCGATGGTATGCAATTTGTCACCCTTTGATGTTTAAAAGCACAGCCAAGCGAGCAAGGAACAGCATTATAATTATCTGGATTGTGTCCTGCATCATAATGATTCCTCAGGCTATTGTTATGGAGTGCAGCAGTGTGTTCCCAGGATTAGCCAATAAAACCACCTTGTTCACAGTGTGTGATGAGCACTGGGGAGGTAAGTGTGTCATTGACCATAAAGACTGAATTTGTACTGCTGTTAAGTAATAAAAATTTCAGGACATATAAATATGCAGTCAAGTTGTACAAACATATCACAAAATGTTCTTACTTATATAAGCTTTCCTAGAACCACCATTTTTCAAATACTGTGAAATCCTCTTTTGCATAGTTAAGACTTAAAGTACATTTGAAACCAAGTTTGAGTGAATGAGTCTGGCTTGTATCTTGACTGTGTTAATGTTTCCCAGAGGGCAGAAGTGTTCCCACCCTTAAATGCTTATGCTTATATAATTCTGTGATCGATGGACACTGCAGGTTTACAAAGACTTCGGTATTTCAACTTAAGAAATAACTATACCAGAGCACAATTGCTGTTTACCTGATATTTGACTAGTCTTTATAGAGATCTCCTGGGACTTCAATGCAGGTTGCATGTCATTACAGAATTTCCAGAGAGGTCACCGATATGGGGTAGGGAGTTAGTCTACAATTTGAAATTTGTCATGCACAAGATCATTTAAATAACTTCATAAATGTAATCAATTACAAATTATTCTATCCAAGAAGTGTAATTCTACCTTTGCAGATTAACTTTGAGTCCAACATGGTTTGTATTTTAATTCAGCTGTAAGAAGCCATAAGGGTTGCTAGGGAGTAACTGCTTCTAGTTTGTTTCCGTTCACAGCAAGTGGTGTTAGCCACTCACCCAAATGGTTAAAATTCAACCCTGGTGGGCCTTGACATAACTCCAACACTAATAGAGTATATGAGTTACATGCTGTGACTCTGACACAGGATATAATGACCACCAGTAGTACCATTATTCACACACAGGAAAATAAAGCCAAGTTTGCCAAAACATATAACTAAAAGGTGCCTGTTTAATAGCCTTGAGACAGACTAAAGCACAATCAAGAGTCTCTCCCGGAACTGTCTCTGCAGAAGAATATTCCAGTCCTGTGAACAATTAAGATAAAAATCCACTGGATCACCTCTGCTTAATTATTGTGATTAATTAGCTTAAGCAGCTTGAACTACTGACTGCTCTTCCATGTGCTGCTTTGGAAATTCCTCCCTTGCAGGCCTCGCAGGGACAGCAGGGGTTTGAGAAGACATTGGCTATCACATTACCTGTTCTTTGTCTCCTCCATCCCAGTTAGTTCTCTGGGACAAGGCAAGGGGGCAGAGGTGGCTGTTAGCTACCTGGCACTCATTGCAGACAAAGATGTGCTGGAAGTTTGTTGGTTAGAGGAATCCTCAGTTAAGCTATGAGTATTGTCTTTGCTATTTCATTGGAGAGGACACATATGTTCTTTACTTCTAGTATTTTTTTTTTCTTCATCTGTAAACAATTTTTTATCCCAGTCTGCTGCTGTATGCTGCAATATGTGTGTGACTATTTTCTTTCACCGTGTTCACTCCAAGTACAATTTGTGACTACTAATTTTGGCTGCAGAACTTATTATCCATGTCTTCATCACTTCAAGGTTAGATCTGCAGCAAAGATTCCTTTAATCAGCCCAGGAAGTGAAAATGATGTAGTTAATTAATTAGGGAATTGAAAGAGCATTTCATCAGGGAATGCAATCTCAAAATCTCCAGATCTGCATTGGCATCTTTTTTGATTCCCAGCAGGAAAGTGTTGCTTTTGAATGACAGAGGCTGTAGTAGCCTTGGAACTACGTTAAATCGTGCCTCTCATTCAATACTGTGCTGAAGTCGTTGCAGCCCACAGATAGGCCTGAGCTAGAGTGCCCAAAAAAGAGCTCAAATTTGCAAAACTCTACTCCTATGGAGTATATTTGTCCAAAATGGAATCTGTTAATGTCCAGATTATGCTGGAAGCCTTCACCTGAATGTTTGAAGAGGTAGAAAAAGATATAACAAAGGCAAGTGCTTGTGTACAGAATTAAGTTCTTTTTGTGTGTGGCTTCAGAAATGATGTGCAAACACTCCAAAATTATTTCTTGATTTTTTAAAAAAATTATTTTGAGAGTGAAATGAAAATAATTTTACATTAAAAATAAGTTAAAGTTTTATGAAATGGAAAGCTTTTCCTTCCACTGAAAGATAACAATCCTATTTTTATCCTTCTGCATTTTTAATTAATTATTCTTCTAATGATAGTGCACCATCACTGCTAGTTATTCTGCTTGTGCATTTCAGCTATCCATAAAAAATAATCCTCTCCACTTACTAATAATACCTTCTCATGGTAACTTGAGAGAAAAACCTATCCATGCATTAATTTACAAGCAACTTGCTCAAATCATGGAGTTACTTAGTAAGTGTAGAGTTAATCATAGATTATCAATGAGGATAAAATATAACATATATATATCTTAACATCCCTTTCAAACTAGGTAGAAATAGTGTCATTAGCTAGAAATAATTTTCATTCAAGTGAAAATTAAAAAGAATACTGAGCTGACCAAAGCTTAAGAGATACATTTATTTCTACTGAAAACCAGGGCTTGCAATTACAAAGGACCCCAAACAGAAGTAAAAAAAAAAGAACGTGGATAATAGCACAGCAGTTTGAAAAGGTTGGTGAGCCTTGAGGACAGAAGAAGGAATAAAGAGCTAATATTTTCAAAGAAAATACTTGCATTTTCACTGGATTTTGTTTTGCCTTTTTTGACTATGGGAATATCGAGGGTCAAGGAAAGCTAATTAGGAGAAGGTTGATGGAGAAAGAAATTCATGTTCCCAAAAATAAGGTATATTTGCAAGGAGAAAGTGGAGATGTAGATACTGTACATGCTCAAGAGAACCTGAGCAAATCCCATAAGCGAGTCAGTTTAGAGTGAAGGGATTATATTTGGGTGCTTACTGCTTTGTTTACGACTACATATAATTTATACTGTCTAAAATTAGGGCACATGATGAAATCTTTGCAGAGCATCACGTACACTGTATATTCCATCAAGGTTGGGACTGCAAAAAAGGAGAAGCTCAGTGACACTTTCCAAAATGTTTTGAAACTCTATTCTAATTCTGGGAATCTGGGGCCACTGAAACATGAGGTGCTATGGAGGACTAACAGGAAGCCATGTCCAAGACAAAAACTGTCAGAGAGACCAAAGCAGGAGAGAGCACTCTATCCTACCCAGGCTTAGGTCCAGCTGCTGAAACCCGTACAAAGCTGATGAGTGTCTGGAAGGAATGTCTGATCAGTGCTGTGACACTTGGTCTCCTTAACAGTGAACAAATAGTGGCCACCCTGACTAATAAGATTTCAAGCATGCTGCTGGAGAGCTGCCAGTGACTGCAAATGGAGCAATAGTTCGGCCTGAAACAGGGTTCAATTTCTTTTTAATTGCTTCTGGCATTATTGCCAATTCTAGGCTGAGGGTTTTTAATTTTGAGTACTGTCTAATAACAATATTTTATTTGGGAATGCAGAAGGATCCAATATGTGATCTATGCAGGCTCACTTAAGGAGCCAGTGTTGGCCACAGTTCTATAATAGCCTGTAATTGCTATATGCTGAATTGGATGATAAAGTGCCAAAATACAAGAAACATACATTAAAATGAGTTCACCATGTGTCCAAGTCAGCTAAATACATTCTCTTAGAGCTGTTTGTGAAACGAGTGTTAGCCAAAGTGCATTAGCCAACCCCTTTGCAAATGATAAAAAGAATATGGAGATAATCCTTTCCCAAAACTACGTGGTTTAATGGAAACAAAGGGAAGACTTTGTGTTCCATTTCCTCTTAGACTACTCATAAAATAGCACAAAACCATATTGTCTTAATTCCGGAAAGCAAATAGCTGGAAATTCAATTACTACACGAAGATTTATATATCCTGTTTATTAAAGTGTTCAGAATTGAAGGAAAAACTTGTGGGATTTTTAATGCAGAAAAAAGTCAGAATATTGCTAATACTAAAATTATGCTTGGTGTTATCATGAATTGATAACATCAAGCATAATACAGGAGGTTTGAAAATGTAATTTTACTATTACTAAACTGTAAGTACTCTGACATAGGAACACAGTTTGGAAAGGACTGCATTGTGTGGTCAAATTTTCTCTGCTATGGGCACTCACTTCCTAGCATCCATACTTAAAATAAGCTTTATTCTAAAAGTATACTCTTTTAGCTGCATTGCTTCTTCCTATTGGTAGCTCCAAAACCTTACCGCTGTCTCCCTGAGACTGGGGAACCTGCGAACTCTCTGCTGACACTCAGCAAGCTTGATAGTCTTGTTGGTTTTCCCTATTCGTAGGGAAGCTGTGAAGAGTACCAGTGTCATTATGCACCTATGGCTTAAGGCCATATTTCATTTGCCAAACATATCAAAACCTTCTGAGCCTGAGTTGTTTTCAGGTTGTATACATATGTATATGAATACATGTATGTGTGTATGTATTTACACAAATATAGTAAAAGTGGCAAAAATCCAGAAGCTGTAGTTTGAATCTTCTGCCTTGTTGCTTCATTTAACAGTGTTCTGGGATTGGATCACGGTGCCAAGAAGGAAGCTTTAGAAAAGTTTGACATTTGTTTAATAACCCCTTTAGCAGACAGAAGGGTTGTTTTATCATCCTGATCCTTTACCAGGTGGAGTACTCATACCATGTGACTGGTGTGGAGTAGGAACACTGATCTCACCCCAGTCTAATCCCTCTGACCACCAGTTTACTTTTTGTCCCCTTCTCTTTTTTTTCAGTAAAATAGTGGCCAGTGATAAAAGAATCACTAATTTCTTTTTAAAGAGACTTTTACTCCATCAAAAGATGATCTCCCCCTGTCCTGAAGCCCATTAAGAGACCATGGAAGGCAAAGACACTTTTCTTCTCTTCTGCTTGGCAGTAAGGGGTTCAGGACTCCTACTCAGGCAGCTGATATATCACCAGGACCACAGACTGATTGATGTTCTCATTCAAGGTTCTTCACATGATAAATGAATGGTATCCCAAACCAGCCCTTCCTCCTTCTTTCTGCGGTGATTGTCAAATAGCTTTAAAGCTTTTCTTTGGCTTGAGAAGCTAAACAGAGTCATGGTTCTTAGGGAAAAGTTCTACAAAGGGCTTTGCCCTGGGTGGAGGAGGGACAGGTTTCCTTTGATGTTTAGCAGCTGGCACTTTCCAGGTGGCTAAACTTCAAAGGCAAGAGTTAGGATCTTCCTCCAACCTGGTCCGTCAGTTCTTTGTAGATAGTTAGGCTCATTTAATGTTTCACTTTACTTGGAATGCTAAATTGGAAGCCATAAACTCCAGATGGCCTTTTAAATATGTACCGTACTACCTGAAAGGGGCCTGGGTGCCTGCAAACCATTGATGAGGAAGGTGGCACCTCCTTCTGAGCAAAAAGAATGTACTTTCAGCTCTGACCTCCTGTGATCCCAGTAAGTCACGTTACTCCAGTTTCTTCTTCATCTCCCCACCTGTGAAGCATACATGTCAGCATTTCCCTGCCAGACAGGACTGCTGTGAGGCTCCATTTTCTGGAATGCAAAACCAAGTTTGAGATCCTCAGTCAATATACAAACCTAGGTTATCACCAATTGTAAAAAGCCTGCCCCAGATGATCTGCCTCCCCCAGGGACATTGACAAGAGCTAGTAGCTGCAGCTGCTATTTAAGAGTTGGTAAACTAGTTTGCTGCAGGATCTTAGAGTAAGTAAGGAGCTGAATGCTGCTCATCTGAATTTTTTGAACCCTGATCCATCCAAGCTGTCAAATGTCAATGGCAATATCTCTATTACCTTTGTTAGCGATGAATATAGACTGGATTTTTTTATCTCAAGTTTCTATTTTCCTGATACTGAAGTTTTTCTGACTGATAAAGTAGATGGCATTTTCAGGAGCAACACTGATTTATTACTCAAGTATGGGTCTGAGGGTGATCCTGGAGTTAACATGATGGTGTACTCCTCCCTGCTCTGAGAGTTATGGGCCAAGTCTTTGTGTATCTTCATCTAATCAAACTCTTAGGGATTCTCATAACATGCAAAAGGACCTCTTATTTGATAGTATACAATCTCAGTCATTTTAAGAGGCAGAAGAAAAGTTTGACTCATTCATATTTTGATCTCATTGATTTTTTTTTTAAATTAAAGCTACAATCAAACAGTTAATTACCATGCAATCTACCTGCTCATGGAGTGCACAGTTTCTCTTCTGCTATGTATTGTCACTCTCCATAATGTTTGTTCCTTTTCTGAGGCCATCTGTAAATGTTCAATTGTGATTAATATCAATATTTGGTAATACCAAACTACATTTAAAGTTACAAAAGTGAAAGCAAGTTTTCCAGGCAACCACTGTGCATTCAGCTATAATCTAATGATGAAGCTTATTATGCAACATTCTGAAAACATAATACACTCACAACACTTGTAAGATGTTTGTCTCTAAACAAATAACATTCCTAAGTTGTCTTTTGAAAAGAGATACACAGGAAACTGGAACACAGTAGTAGAAAGCTCATTATTCTTAAAGCTAAGTCAAAAGTAGTTTTGCAGTTTTCCTAAGTTTAGAGCACTTGCCTGAATTGATTCTATTTTTTTAAAATGTGATCGTAATAATAAATCACTGAGTCTTAATCATGTTCACTTGGCCACCAAAATGTCAGTCTCTCCTCCCATCAGCATCCTGTGTGCTGTAGTCTACATTCTTTGTTTATAGGTGAGACACTGAGCAATTTATTCACGGACGCATAGTAGCCTTTGCAGAATTAAAACTAAAGACAGTTACACAACCTGGTGAATGCATTGAAGATGAGGTAGGTTGGATAATTAGTTAGCTATTGTTAGATAATTAACTTTTTTTTATCTTCCACTGATTTAATAATAAGCAAAACTTCTGAAGACTTTATACCTAAACCAATAATGTGACGTGACTGCAGTAATGTGATACAAATGCAGTAAAGTGATATAAGAGATGCGTCAGATAAAAACATGTTTACAATAGAATGTATATAGAAATGATTCAAAAATCAAACCTGACCATGCTATTGGATACATCTTTCATTATAACCTGTTATGTTTGAAAAACACATGCATGTCTATATGAATAATTTGGCTTGAAGTGATTTTTAAATGTATGTGTATTTAAATGCACTTTTTCTCTTTGAATTCTTTTTCCAGCTGAGTTGTACCCCAAAATGTATCACACGTGCTTTTTTCTGGTGACATACATGGCACCACTGTGTCTTATGGTGTTGGCCTATTTGCAAATATTCCGAAAGCTGTGGTGTCGCCAGGTAAGTCACTGGACGCTAACTCTGTTTTCTGGCTGTTGTGACTGTGAGCAGACTTCTATGTACAACCTTCTCTGTATGCTCCATGCTGTCCCTTAGGACTTGGATTTTTGCATCCAGTGATGTTACAAGGTAACAGCAAGGTTACAAGGCTTGCAGCCACCTTGGCTAGGCAATGAAACGCATTAAAAAATGAAGTCAGTCAGGCTGAATGTAAACACCTTCTTGCTGGTGTCTCTGAAGGACTTAGAGGGACAGAAAGAGATAAAAAGGCAACAGAAAGATTGATTATAGGCAGGCAAAAGATCTATCCCACTGTACCTGAAATGCTTACCAAAACACATTCTGTGACCTTATTTATACTGCTAAAATGTCCCGTATCAGTCAAAAGTTAGGACTGACCTTCTCATTTTGTTAGTAGTCTGTACAATTTTTTTATTTTTCCATTCTACAAAGTCTGACATTTATAGCAGATCCAATCTGAAGAGAAATTAGACTAGAAAATCCAACTATTAGAACTATGAAACTGGAATTGCCTGATGTGAAGCTGGCTGTTATTACTAACATTTGATGTGAATTATTGACAAATAATTGGCATGATTTCTAATGTGAACATCTGTTTCTTCAAGCATCAAATTAAAAATACAAGAAAGAAACAGAAATGCTAAACAAAAAAACAGCAAAAAAGCAAGCTCGTAAAGAACATTTGAATTGAAGTGGGAAAAGCGATGTGAATTTTTTCAGGAACATTTTTTCCCCTTCCAACAATTTGAAGTGGTGTCACTTTGAGAACCAGTTTTTTTGAGTGCGAACTGTAATCTGTCATGCAAATTGTGCGTGCGGAACCATTAGTCTGTGGTTCTCTCTGCTGTCTTCTGCTTTGTCCAGGATTTATCTATAGCTGTAGTCTTCCACCACCTCCTGCCTTGTCATTCTGTGAGGGACAATAAACTCATGCCATTGAAGACATGATGCAAGATACCCATCTCCTGTCCTCTGGCTGTAACAATGGCTGACATTTACATCAAGATTTGGGCATGAATAATTTCTCTCTCACCATTATGTCTGATGCCATCCAAATTTGAGGCTGTCCTGTCTGGGGCATTATATCTGCCCCATCAGGAGCATTTTTCACACAGTTCAAATTGATCAATCAGAGAAATCACAAGTAGATTTTAGAATTCTAAATACACATATGTTAAAAGTAAAAATCAGTTCTTACAGTGATGAAACATATCTCTTGCAAATAACTAAAATATAGGAAATATCAAATCTGCTTTAAGGCATTTTGTTACCATCTATACATCATAATAGGAATGTTCTCACTTCTAACCAGATTAGGTTAAAACAGAGTTGCTTTTTATCTTTAAATTATTATTTTTACTTTAATTTTGTATATTTATAAGCTAAATAACAAAATAGTTTGAAGGTAAAATTTAACCTTTATAGTTTGAGGGGACTCTTCACCAGAATGAAGGCTTTGCTTAGTTTTAAAATTCAGTCCAACATAGTTCTAAGATGCTCTGCATTACCTGTCCTGTAGCAACCACTGACCTTATCACCATATTCCTTCTTAACCTTCTCTCTGTGCTTTCTTTACAATCTAGCTATTCTCTCAAACTAAGTCAATGCAAAGCAATTGTTCATAAGCTTGGACACAGCTTGAAAATGCTGGTTCAGAGTCAGAGCAGAATTTGAAAGTCTGGGGATGTAGTTTTGTTTCCCCAGTTGTATTAGCTGGACTATTTCTTCTACACAGTACTTCTTCTCCCTGTGCATCTTGCATGCTGGCCAAGTTAGAACGATCATTTTTTGTTTTCAGTGGTAAAAAGGCAAATACTGCTACAAGGCTTAGGGCTATCAATGATGCAAAATTACAGATATCAGTTTTCCTAGCATAGATGATAGCACTATGTTTAAGAGGCTACACTAAGTGAAAATAAAACCACTGTGCATCTATTATCAGCTGTGACTTTACTGCAGACATCAGACATTTTTCTATGCGCAACAAGTGTGCCATAATCAGTCATGTAGAGCAAATGAATATAGTGCTCTAAATGTATCATTTGATAATAGTTTCAATTAAGAAATCATGCTGTTTACTAGAACTTCAGTTAAATATAGTGATCCTACTGCAAGGTACAATAAGCGTAAGTACAGGATGGAAAAAAACAGTATATGCTTTATATGCCTTGCACTTTTTCTGAAGACTATTTTTTTAAATGGAGTGTGTTGTGCATGCAAATTTTCAGATGACTAAGAATAAGATAGATTTACAAGCTATCCTTACCATACTCTGTGAAATAGCTCTTAAAATTACTGATTCTGTCTTTCAAGCCAATCTTTGAACGTAAGCTTTACGATCTTTGAAGTAATTATTCGTCTTCATAAAGACAAGAACAATCATGCCACAAATACCAGGGATTTTGAGTAATTTATTTTAATTATTAGCATGGAAGGAGTGACTTGAGAACACTATGTTCTCTTGCAGATTTTAAGTAGATTAAAAGTAACTTCTGAACAAACAAATAGGACTGAATGGACTTACGATGAAAGTGTTGACATATAATTTGTATTATCAAGTTTCATCATGCATGCTTTGACCTGCTGATGTCCAAATGCATTGACACCAAGGCCTACCCATATAAATGACTAGGAGGCCTGCTCATTTTCATTTTGTCAGCTGAAATATACCCTTCCAATCATTGCAAGTTGTTATTACATTTGGAGAGACTTCCTCTGGTTATAAACTGCTTGATAATAATTTATGGGATTATAATTTGGATAGAGGAAAGGTGTATAAGAAAATAACTGCAATTTTTAGTACCTGTTTGGACACAGCTTTTAGTGAATCACTTGAATTACACAAATTCTCCACAATTATCTCTATACGTGATTCATTAATGAAAAGCAAATATATGCATTATGCTGCATGTGTGCAATTGTACATACATAAACACAGAATCATTTAGGTTAGAAAAGACCCTTAAGATGATCAAATCCAACCATTAATCTAGCCAAGTCCACCACTAAACCATGACCCTAAGTACCTTATGGACACATTTAAACACCTCCAGGGATGGTGACTCCACCACTTCCCTGGGCAGCCCATCCCAGTGCTTTACAATTCTTTCTGTGCATATTTTTTTTCCTAATACATGCACTGGTTTAGCTATGCACCTGTGAGTGCATAGCACTTCTTTATTTTTTTTTTTTCCTTGATCAAATTCTTGCTGTATTATTGCCTATTGGTATAACTGTAGCAAAGGCCAGGTGCATATCAGAAAAAGACTGAAGAAAATAGGGCTCTTTTGAATGGTTCTCAATACAAACTCCTGAAGATTTAGCAATTTAATATATAGTGCAGTGAGACTGTACACTGCGTACAGGCCTACCTTTGATCACGTCTTGCTATTAAAGCCGCTTAAATACCAGAAAAGACCCTTCTACCCACACACAGAGGTACAAACTGTGCACACAGTCAGGTCTAACATTTCGGTAGAAATAGCCATTTATGATTTGAGCAAAGATAATGTTTCTGTTCATCTAAATTGCATCTAGCTACCATGAAAGCTAGTTACTTGATTTCTTCAAATGAATCTTTGGCAAAATCGTGAGGGAGACATTTGGCTGAATTTCTCTGATTCCATCTCCAGTTCCTGCTACAGTATGGTAATTCAGCATGCCCAGAAGGGGAGGAAAAGCTTCTGCTTCAAAATTAGAAGAACAGAATGTCAAAGTACCCCTGATAAGCCAGAATCAGAGTATTAGACAGTGTATTAGCTCAGCAGTGCATGGCAAAACCACATGGCAGGACTACACCCTACAGCTAAGTAGGGTAAATCCCTTGCAATAGAACAGACATATTCACGTATGAAACCAATATTGCTGATTTCAGCTGAATGAGTGGGAACCTGCAGTAGAAGTAAGAGCAAGGGTTTTTTTTTTTCTTTACATCCTTAGACACATCAGTGAAAAATAAATGTTATAACGTATCCCCTGTTCCGCTTCATTGATTTCCTGTTCATTACCACACAGCTTTGCCAAAACATTCCAATAGTTGTAAATCAGGTTTGATGGTGCACAGAAATGCTAAATTAAGGGCTTGTCTGTGCAAGGAAGCTATTCTAGAACAATTCTGAATTTCCATGCTTTTATTTTAGAACAATTATTCCCTGTACAGCTTAATTTTATCCTGAAATAGATATCCAAAATTTTATTCTTTTATAGTCAGTTTGTGTGGATAAGCCCTAGCTTTTAAAATGTTACAAGACACAATTTGAATTTTGCAGATACTTTTAAACACAAATTATTTTACACTCATGAGACTAGTCACTCCACAGACAATTGTGCTGCGCATGAATAAAACTGTTTTTCTACCCAAAAGGTTTTCACAATGTATATCATTGAAAACATTATAAATGTCATTGTAATAGAGTTCTCTGAGAAAATCCTTGCCATCTGTAGTCTTTCACATTTGGCCACAGGCAGGAAATAATTTTGAAGAACTGAAGCAAAAAATGCTTTATTTAGCTTGGCTTATATGAGGGCACAGAAAACAAAAACCTAGATTTTTTTTTTTAATAGCATGGTGCTACATCTACCCCTTGCAAGGTGTCTTTGGCTAACCTACTTCTTCCTATGTCTTGGCACTCTTCCATGATCCCCCCTATTCATCACTGTATATACATTCAAATTTGAAGAGCTTGGCAGGGGAATCCACACTTTAGCTGTGATATCTTTAGCTGCTTCATTGTCATCTAGACTGTATATTTGGAAGTTCTATGGCACTTAAAACTGTATGCTTTAATCTCTGTTTTCTAATGCTGAAGAGCTGTTTAACACCTTAAATTAGTGGCATATTAATGGGATAAATTACTCTGCCATAAAACAAAACATTTAATGCAGAATTTCATTGCAACATAATTGCATCAATAGGGTTGCTAAGTGTGGTAGTCTGATGACTCAAGCAAGGGAAGGTATGTGAGATATAAAGACAATTTTAATACATCAGTTCACATATTTGGATAAACCACAAGGTTTTATGCAGTCAGTTAAGTGTGTCTGAAATTGGGTTTGTTTCTTGCAGTTACATAAATTAATTTAATAAGAAAACCTACTTCTCCTTGCAAACTTACACTGTAAATATCAGCATCTATTTTTCTTGTTATAGCTACCCACAGTGCAAGTTTTTCAAAGTGCCCCTTACTTTTTCTTTCTTAGATTCCAGGAACTTCTTCTGTTGTTCAGAAAAAATGGAAGCCTCTGCAGTCCTCAGCACAGCCCCGAGGGCTGGGACACTCAACAAAGTCAAAGATTAGCGCTGTGGCAGCTGAAATAAAACAGATTCGTGCAAGAAGGAAAACAGCACGAATGCTGATGGTTGTCCTCCTGGTTTTTGCACTTTGCTATCTACCAATTAGCATCCTCAATGTCTTGAAAAGGTAAAGTTTATCCCAAAATGTAAGCACTTGGTAGAGCTTTCTGTCTAAAAACATCCTCTGTTATGAGATTGCTGTTATTCTGGCAGATATTTTTGAAGGATAAGCCTACTTATTTCATGATAAAGAAATACAAAGTAAGCATACAGTTGCAAGAAAAAATATTTCTAACCTATGCGTAGTACTTAAGCTAAAGGCCAGACTGTGGAACCCTTATTAGCAATCTCTTCCTTGTTAATGAAGATGATCTAGCCTATCTCTTCATTAAAGCCTGTCATTTAAATGGAATTACAGCTTGTTTGCTCCAAATGCACCCATGGAAGTGCATTTACCTAAAGCAGCAGCTGAATGTTAGCAGGAGAGTCTAGTGTTGTGGCTTGGCCCCAAGGACTATGAAGTACTGGGTTCAAACCCAAGCCCCATCATGTACAATTTTGAGACCTTAGGCTAAGCCTTCAGCTTGCCTATGAAGCTATGTTTTACCTTGTTATCCTTTTCTTTCCTGTTCCTTTGAGACATAATTGTATACACTCAGTTTTTTGTACAGTGCCTGGCAAACCAGGGCTTTGTTATGGTTATATCTCATGAGCCATCTGGAATACTGATAAATAATGACATATAACAGAAGATTTGAATATTCAAAAAAACCAGCCATCCTGTTACTGGTGCTTGAGGAACATTTTCAGTTTTAAGGACTAGTTTCAAGCTGGATCTGAAGGCTTAAATACATCCCACTTAATGTGGGACACTTTCGTGAGGCCTAATTCAAATACTTTTCATCCTCAACTCCTTTGGTAGGCAATGTAGAGAGAAAGAAGTATTTCCAGAAGGCAATTCAGGCCACCTACAATCTGAACCACAGAGGAACTGCACAGACTGCCTTGACTACAATAACTGAATAGTCCCATAGTTAAATTTTCATTTAAATTGCAAAAGTTTGGTGTAAGGAGTCTGGGCAAAACAGATTTCTCTGAAAGACAGAAGCTGCCACTGGGGCCAGTTCAGTGCCTTTTGAATTCCAGAGCTCCTGTTTATTGAAGGGTGATCCTAGATCTGGGAACCTCAATGACATTAATAGGTCAAAAGCAAGTTCTCCCATCTTTTCTTGGCTTGTCTGACACCAGTTGACTTTGATTACTTAGCAGAAAGGTCATGCATCTGCACCATTGCAAAGTAAAGTCCTGATGGTCTCTGTTGTGCTAAACCACTCAGATAAGAGGCTGAGGGAGGGGACGAGGACTTCATTCTCACAAGAAAGCAAGCACTGTTGAATCAACTTTTCTGTGATACTGTAAACAGATCATCAGACGAAAAATTAGACTAGAGGTTGCCAGATCTTTTTATGTGATTTCTAATCTTGCCATCTTTCAGTTTTGGTTTTCTTTTTCTGTAGGGTTTTTGGGATGTTTAATCATGCTGATGACAGAGAAACTGTATACGCCTGGTTCACATTCTCCCACTGGCTTGTATATGCAAACAGTGCAGCCAATCCTATTATTTATAACTTCCTCAGTGGTAAGTCACAGTTACCTAGAATTCAAGTTTAATGTGTAGTTTGAATGCAATGAGCCATAGCAAATAAGATTAATGGCTGTCTAACATCAGCTGAGCTCCTCCAGTGGGAGCTGGATCCTCTTCTTGGATCAAGTTGCCTGAAGTATCCCATTACCTTCAGGCTATCTACCTAGACCTAAACTAAACAGTGTCAGGGCCTGAGGCCAAGTGCTTGAATTTGACTGTCCATGCCATTAATCTGGCAGAGAAGGCTCTGGCATGACTTTGTTCTGAAACAATTACCATTCTCCTAAACCCTCCCCAGATACTGACTGGGAGGTAGCACAGGCCAGGGGCTGTCCCCAGCAGGCATTTTGTATGCAGGTGTTGGGCTTTGGAAGCTGTACTTTTGTGACCAGACTGTGCCAACTGGGTTCAAGGCCAAACAACCACACAAGATGCTGTTTACTTACTAGCATAGATCTGTCCTAGTTTGCATTTGTCTTATTTGGCTGTGGGCAGCAGAATCGGCAGCTAAACTGATGGTATTACAGCTAAATACAGGGAAGAAATAGTCTGTTGATTCCCACTACACATTTGCCCACTCTGCTTTTTTTGTACTGTGTAGTGTGAGGATGATGTGAGCAATTTACCCTGAGCCCCAAAAGCAGACTAATGGGCTGTTGAACGCTCTGAATCTTCTTTTAAAATGTATCCAAGATGAAATCCAAATTAGCCATGCCCTCTCATTTCAGATGACAAGTCATGATTCAGTCATTTAAGCCTATGATTGGTCAATTACTTGGTTTTGTTAGACATGTTATTAATCAACAGACCATCTATGACATGATTTCATAAATCATTCTACTTTGTCCATTCTCTCTACCCGAGGATAATTTAGGCTTCATAACACACCTCACATACATTCTTAAAAGGTTACATTTTTTTCTGTCTTTCTCCAAGCTGTTGAAATTGTGATTTCCTACTTCTGCATTAGAAGAAGATCTGGGTAGTTCGGCTTAATTTTGCTTTAGATAGCTACCTTTCTGTAATATTTAAAGTTTGATGAAACATGGTTTATAGTACAATTTTTTCATTAGTCCTTTTTTTTGTGGTTGACAGGGAAATTTAGAGAAGAATTTAAAGCAGCATTTTCTTGTTGCATCTTTGGCATTCGTGGTCACCGTGATGAACGGCTCACCAGAGGTCGTGCCAGCACAGAGAGTCGGAAATCTTTGACCACCCAGATCAGCAATTTTGATAACGTTTCAAAACTTTCAGAACATGTTGTATTGACCAACATAAACACAATTCCAACAAATGGTACTGCACCTATCACTGCCAAGTATACTCATCCTTGTATCTTTTGATGCTGTGAAAATAAAATGTAACTGTCATACAACAATATTTTAATCTGACCACAATGCAGTAGGGTGTTTACAGTTAAGAACTCGCTGTAAGGGATGTAACCAACAAGAAATATTTTATAGAATATGCTAAAACTTTGGTTATATATTGATGAAACAAAATTTCATCTCATTTATTTCAAAAGTTGAGTTGCAATTGGGGAGGGGGTAAAGTAATCGAACTTCATATAAATCCATACTTTCTTTGGACTTCTAGGAAAATAGAGAACAGGTACCTGAAAGTCTGAAAATTTTCCCTGGAGTTGCAATAGGTTTATAAACAGCTATATTCTACTTGGAGCTAATTGTCTGAAGCTGTCATATATTTTGTTTTTATCCAAAACTGGGTGTACAGATTGAACTACCTGAATGCCCCTGAGTATTTCAAATGATCTGCTTACCATGCATTCTGGTGTGAGTTGGGCTGATCAAATCAGAGATTCACATTAATTTCTTTTCTCACATTTTCTGTTCTTTATCTTATTGATCAGGTTATTACATGTATTCAGGAACAGCTGGGAAGCCACTTTTGATTTTTCTCTGGTACAGGTTGATAAAAAAATGAACAGAATCTGTAATGAAAAGTAGAATTTGTTCAAGCTTTCCCAAGTCTTGGTAAACATTAATTCAATTGTGCAATTCCCTGGTTTTGTGAATAGATGAAAAATGCCATATTATTTATTGTTCGGTATTTCTCATTACATTATATGTCATATCCCAGCAGGACTTTGCAAGGGACTACAAATATAAGATTCATCCCTCTTCTCCTAGGGACATGAACATTCATTGTCTAGAAATTATCTCAGACACTATAGGCTATTACTATATAAGCTATATATTGATAACAGAGGAATTTGTATCTCTTAGGACAGCTAATCTATTCCTAAAATATATATCTCTAAAAAGGCGTAAAGAGATTACCTCTTTTCATTTATTATAAATGTGAATTTTTTTTTTTTTCTTGAATTCAGCTTTGCTCTTCTCCAATAGTCTTGCCATACCTGTATGTATGGTACAAGCAAGGTTAAAGCCATGAAATAGTGTGGCTGTATGTTATATTTTAGTCTGTTACCATTCTATTCTCCCTGCCTATCTTCTGCTCATGGCAGGAGGATTGGACTAGGTGATTTTTAAAGGTCCTTTCCAACCCAAACTATTCTATGACATGTACACAGGAAGCTATAGTACTCTGCTGGTCACCGTGTCATCTGGATAAGGAGACATGGGGCAATTTACCAAAAACATGCATATTAAATAAGTAGTAGAGCACATTAAAAATGTTGAAAAGTAGTAAAATCAAGGTTTATGTATCAGAAATCTTGACTTCTTTAGTCAAGGAGTCTTCACTTAAAATTTGCAAGCGCAATTTGGACCATTTTCTGGTAGACTGTTTTGTTAATAGATCATCACCTGCATAGTGTTCCAAGAGTGACATGGAACCTTATTTTATCTTACAGATATCCCAGCTACACTCAGCCCACTGAAATCAGTGGAACTGCATCTCCACATACCAGGGATGAACATGACTTCAAATTTAGATGAAGCTGTGACAGTTTCTGCAGAAGGCACTGGCAACACAGAGAATGCAGAGTGGGACAAATTCATCCCTAGCATAAATAAACTTACTTCGATAGAGTTACAGCAAGGATGACTTTGGCTCAATACATGTGAGACCACCAGAGAATGGCACATACTTCTAGTGTCTTACAGACTACAACTGGACAAAGGGATTCCTTCAGAATGACTGCATCTCTTATTTCTTCTCAGTCTACAAAAACCTACTTACCTCAGTATGAGCTAAAGAACATGTCTTTACAAGTCTTTTTAAAGATTAGATTGTATCATACTTTGTAAATAATGTAGATATTTATTTTTATATATTTTAGATGCTGTGGAATGTTCTAAAATGTATTATATAAAGAACTCTAAGGATTTGAAAGAGCTATCATCATCTATTTATATCCTGTTTCTATAAATGAGTGGTTTATTTACAAGGAATGCTTACTTATGCACTAGTGATATTCTGGAATTACTTTGTGCTTTTTTTCCTGCTAATTCACTTGTAGTAAATTCTATGTTCATTATGGAACTTTCACTTCATATTAATTTGGGGAGATTCCAGGCTACTTTTGTAAGCACAGACATGCTTTTAAGACGTGGATCCGGAGTGCTGCAAATAACATGTTTTCGTAAGATTACACTAAATAGCCAATTCTTCTTTTTCTTCAGATTCGAGTGCCTAAAAAGTAACTACTTAAATAAAACTTAGGTGATGCTCAAAGGTGCTATAAGCTCAAAATTCCTACTCAGGCCAATAGGAATAACAAGTGGCAGCACCCCTGAAGGATGGGACATTTTAACTTTGGTAGCTCATTTTAGCCTGTAATGTCTGCAAGTGTTGCTTCAGGATATCTCTGAGGATCTTAAAAATAGAAAACATTGGTTATCTTGCTTGCTTTCTCAATTTCTCTTTCAGCTGCCATTGAATACTAATGATACAAACAAACACTTAGCAGATTTATATGCTAAGAAAATGTTGACTTTTCAACAATTAAAATGTTTCTCTCTGGAAGTTATAGAGGTGATATCTCATGAGACTGGTACTCAAGTACTCACTCAACCATTTTCCATTTATGGGATAAGCTCCCTGGCCTGGAGCTTCCTGCCATGCATTGTAGTTATTCTTAAAGAATGAAGATGGTGCATCATTGCAGACCAGTGACCATTGAGTCTACTAGGAGAACGTGGTCTATTGGTTAGAAAGAGAATGACCTATGAGAACCTGAGCTACAATCACCCTGTGGCACTAAACTTGCTTTTCAGTTAAGATTTTTCAAAAGGAAGGGTAAGATGGGAGGGAGGTCTTGGTTTTCAGTAAAAAGCATTTCACATAGAAGACGTCGTCATATGTGCAAAAGTTTCTGAAAAGCCAGTTATTCATAGACAAGATGTTATTTGATTAACTTATGTAAATATTTTTTTCTATGTTTTACTTTGACCGATTGTCATGTGATGCACTGTCTGTCATGACAGCTATAGTTTTATGAAGTGCTTAATCAGTTTGTGCTTTAGCCTTTCCCAACAGCTCTTTCACTTGACATTGTTGCAATTACTCCTAGGTTACACTGGTGTATATAGTGAGAGAAAAAAATTGTATCTGTTTGTATACTAAAGTTTTCTTTTTCTATTAAAAGAGAAAAAGGAGAATATTCTTTTTTCTATTAGAAAATAATAAGAAATACCTAAATGGAAAGAGTGTTTAAACATTAAAAAAAAAAAAATAGTAATTACTATATTCCTATGAATAAACTTAATTTTTGAGTATAACTATTATGTCACCATTATTTCAAGATATTATTTTACTTTGCCTCTTCTAAGAAAAGAAAACCCAAATAATTGTGGAAAGTACAGCAGGATTTGGTTTCACAGCTATTGTAATTCTTTTGCCATCAGAATGCTATTTTTGCACTTCAGCCACATTTTGTTTTGATATAAATAAATTTTTTATAGTGAAAAACTAGTACAGGAGTTTAGCTGCAAAATAATTATCAGTAGTCACTTAATTGTGCCACAAAATGTTGCCTGAACACACTGCTGAAAAATGTTAAGTATGTTGAAATTTTGCAAGCCTATCCTTTCATTTCATGAACTGTATTTTTATCTTTTCCTTGAAGAGAGAGCAAGAGTGTAGGAAGTAAATGGTTGTGTAAGAAAACTTTGTCAGTATAAAAGTGGAGTATGCATACTTTTCACACATAAAAGGTCATGGTGACTGTGGAAGACCAGCAAAATTCTCACACCTTGTCAGGTGTGTTGCCTAGATCCCTGTGAGATGAATGGTGAGGGCGGGTGGTGGTAGCTACACTCATGGAAAAAGCCTAAGTTGCATTTTTCTAAAAGGGGGTTGAATACTACCTGTCAACTCTAGTTGTCTTCTTTTTGCTCCTACCTTAATGCCAGTGGGAGGAATTGTGTTTGTTAGACTGATGTGAGAACACCAGTAAAGGTCTTTAGCAGTAGTTTTTGATTCCTGCAGCTCTCCTGTGTCATGTTAGAAATGGAGGTTCTGGCCTTAATTTTCTCTTTTGTAAGAGAAAAGTTACTCTTTTGTTCTCTGTTCTTTTTTCTTATTTTCACTTAGATCCCAAAGATTAAAATATTCCACCACTCCTAGGAATCTCTTTTAGCCATAACCTTAACAGGACTTTTGTGTGGAGAATGTAAATAAAAGATGATAAATTAATTTATAAATGATTCTGGGTGGTTCACTGGCCAGAATTTTGATGAGTAAATAGCACATCTTTGAGATGCAAGTGATACAAACAGGACTTATCTAAGATCTTAAATTCTAAGGACAGGTAGAAAGTGTTGACTAATTCTCGCCAGAGAACATGGTTATCAAGTTAAAGATTAGTTAAATATGGTTATCAAGATAAAGATTTGGTTATTTTGATGAAATATTTTTCATTCAAAAATTTCTACTTTTTTGAAATAAATATTTTTTTATTCAAATATACATATGTATTTATTTATTTAGCTTTTTTAAAAAATGATAAATGCCTAGACGTTTTCTTCTTTAGCTCAGGTGTGTTTTCAGACACCCTTTCATCAGAAAAATGCCACAGGCATTTAAAAATCTGTTGTCCACCTGTATAAAGTAGTGAAGTTTTTTGCCAGTTCGAGGACCCTTTACTCCAGGAAGATCCAAATATTTGTGTACGTTCAAAACATCCACATGGATTTATGTTTTGAATGAAAATGATCATGGGGAGTTTTCAATAAAGCTAAACCAAATAGTGAGCAGTGGATATTAATGAGATAGAGATGGCTGTGAAAAGATAGGGTAAGATTTTAAGAGCAATGTGGAATTTAATGCCTTTTGCATGTGACAGAAATTAAAGCATCTTAAAGAAGTTTCTAGTCTTCTTATCCATCTAAAAAAAAATAAGTGAGGAACGAGCATTTCTTGCCTAGTCTATAAATACTGAAAATTATTTAAAAGCTGAGCTTTAACTGTGTCTTGTTCCCTCTAGCTGCTTTGATATTATAATATTTCCACTAACAACTCAGGAGCATAAAAATTGAGTTCTCATGCCATTGTTTCTGCTTGGTCATAACATTATTAGAGTTTAAACCACAACCTATTTGTTCCTGCATACATAGGTTGTTGTGCCAGCATCACCCTGGTACTTTGCCTTTCAACGTATTTCATAGTCTTGGAGGTCTGATACCCTGACCTCTTTCTCCTTTCCTGTTGTCACTGTAGTCATAAGCTTGTGCCCTGCAGTCCCAAGAACTGCAAGATAATTTCTCCCCCTCTCCACCTCCAAAAAGTCAGTATTTTTGCTTTTCTTCTGGAAAGCATAGAGGGCACCAGCTCATTCTCTGATATTACCAAAACTGATGCATGTCATTAATCTGGAGGGTGCTTTATAGAAAGAAGAGTACACTAAACATTGGCTTAACTCAGCCTTCACTGTAAGATCCATTGCAACGTACTGCTGCATGTTACAGTGGATTAAAGCCGAGGCAAATTTACCTTTCCACCCCAAAATTTATTAATCTAAATTATATTAATCTTTCAGGCTATTCCTTTTACCTGACAATAAGGGGTTGATTTGCTTTCCTTTTTTTTTTTTTTTCCCTTGATGTTGCATATATTGGATGAAATAATATTTTATTTTATTGCATACACTTAAAAAATATTTGGCAATATTTGCATTAGGAGTTTAAGTTAGGAATGTAATAAATTAACTAAGTTAAAATCTGAGTTGAAAAAATTAAGAACTTGGATGTAAGACTGAATTTTTGTTAGATAAAGAAATAACAAAAAACCAAAAAGAACCACCAAAATCTGGACTTTGCTCAAGTTCTAGTTTGCTAATAGGGACAGGATTTCACTCACTATATCACAAAATCACAGATTCGTTGGATGGTAGAAGAGGAAGGGACCTCTGGAGATCATCTAATCCAGTTCCCTGCCAAAATCGGTTCAGCTAGAGCTGGGATATCTCTGTCTCTTCTAGCTATGCTGGAAGTTTGATGACAGCTTTTTGTTTTAAGCATTCAATGCACCAAATCCAACTAAAAGTGCTCTGTATGGATAAGGAACTTGTAAAATCAAGACTTGGGAGTAGTGTGGAGAAATCAATAGAGATTTGCTGTTTACTTCTTCCAGTGCAAAAGTGAAGCCAACAAGTGTATCATTTAATGCTTCATGGTTGATTAAGTATCTGAGTCAACTGTTGACTTCTGCATGACTTATTGATTTTTGATTTATTTCAGTGAAACTCCTGAAGTTAGACCCCTAGTCCAGTGTGGATTTAGGCTATAGGCTACTTCTTTGCTCCCCTGTTCTGCTGTCCAACATGCTCCCCAGCTCCTCTCTCTCCTTTAGTAGATCACAATCCTATTCCACGTCTGAGAGGAAAACGAACAAATTGATTTCTAAAATGCATTGAGAAGTGCTTGCGGGAAATGAGCAGACATAGCAACAGGCATTTCCTGGGGAGATCACAGGCAGCAGGTGAGCACTGGCTGGGAGTTCCTCTGGCGGTCGGGAGGGAACTGAAGGCAGGGGGAGTGGCCGACCCCGTGCAGAGGGCCGGGCGGGGCC